AGTGTTATTTTATTCTTGTATAGTATCTTTTACATTACTAATAGTAATGGCACCATTCAGAGTAATGCAAGGATATCCAAATAGAAAAGTTTCGAATTGTTGAAAGTGACAGTTGACCGTAGCAATAAGTGATGTATAACCTATATCGTAGCTGTTGTTTTTACACGTAATGTTTGTAACCAGTTATTCGATGTTTGTCATTGCAATTCCGTTACATATATTATAAATATCTGTAACAAATTTGCAACAATGGCTGAATCGACGTTTTCAAAATCAACGACCGAGTCACAGTTCGTTCGGAACGAACCTGCGAATTACACGACCGGTATAATTATAAATTTGTAAAATAAGATTTCGTTGAAAAATCGGTATTGTCACGTGTTGTTCGTATATTTAATTGTTTGTAGAAATTCGTCAAATGATGCACGGTTTCGGAGACAGCAGCGAGCCTTTAATAGAATCCGCAAGAATCGTGGAAGAAATAGTTCTACAGCAGATGAGAACAATAGTAAGAAAAGCCTGCGAAGTTTCGGAAAGACGAGGAAATACGAAAAAGGGCGCCAGTATTAGTGCAGAAGATTTGATCTTCTTGTTACGTAAAGATAAAGTTAAGTTACAGCGACTTATGAAATATTTAGGTAACTGCCTCATCACTGTTCGATAGTGAAACACTTTAAGATGAAATATTTACTTAAGTATTTATATTATAGATTTAAAAGAATACAAGTCTTCCTTGCACAAAACGATAGACAGTGATATGCCCGAGGATATTTTAAATAATGAAAATGTAGAAAATTCCAAGAACAGAGGACCTTACCATAATTTTCTTAGTTTAATCGATAATACCGGTGAACTTCTGGAGGATTCGTCTACTGTAGATGAGATCAAGCAACAGAGATGCGTTCGAGCTGAAATCATGACAAGATCTATGGACGAAGCTAGATATTTAAAATTCAGTAAAGCAAGAAATGCATCTTTTGCTAATAAAAATAGACACAAATTCAGTGACTGGCTCTCACCCGAGGGTGAGTATCAAAATAAAAATGTATTTTTGAACAGATACAACTTGGAGTATTAAACATATTTTAATATCTTTTAGGTGACATAACAATAACAAAACAGGGGTACACAATTTTAGGGTATTTAGCATATGAAACAGTAGCGCAAATTGTAGACTTAGCATTATTAGTGAGACAGGACCAAAATAAAATCTATGGAGATGCTATTGATCGGCTCAGACTCAGCTATGTTAATCCGTATACTTATAAACCATATTACCATGGCAAGGTTTGTACTATTTGAAAATGAATTTATTAAGGTAAAATGTAAAGAGTCACAATGAAACCCTATACAGTTTTTACTTGTTAGGTTGCTGTGACAAAGCCAATATCACCCGCAGAAATTATTGAAGCCCTCAGGAGGTTCTGGTCTCCACAATTAGACATGACAGGTCCATTCAATTGTTGGTCAATGAAAAAACCACACTTGAAGCTTCTTGCCTGTTAATATAGGTTCCAGAAGGGTAAGAATCTATTTCATAATACAAGCAAGATACATATTTTGCTATCTGAAGGAAATGCAGTTTAAAATGCTTCACCAGTATTTTATACCAGGAATATTTTGTTGGATTTTGAATTTAGTATATCGAATTAACAATATAGGATATTTTAAAATTGACCAATGTTTATTGACATGTTCCTGTACCTCTTACACTATGTAACTTAGATCGCTAGTTTTACACATGACCGCTACAACACAAATTAGTATGATACCCTTCTTTTTACAAAATTTCCTAGTCATGTGGCCTATCTTTAACGTAACATTCATAGTATCT